CTTTGATTGCCCTTCTCCTTCTTGCACTCCCTAACCCTCTCACATTCCAGCTGATGATTTTCATTATAAGACTCCTTTCAAACGCCCCTTACGAACCCGGTTCCATCTCACAAAGAACCCTTCCTTCTCTCTCCCCTTCCGCTAAACTCGATATCACCTTCTATATCTGACAACAGTCTCTCCACTTCTGATCTCTTTTTCTTCCTCCTTCTCACATTCCCCTCTAACTTTTTAGCCGACCCATTGCCTATACTTGCTTCCCCCCCCACCAGCCTAGAACTTCTGTTACCTTCCTTATTCTGAGGAGTTTCATCAGGATCCCTACCATCTAACCCCTCCTCCTTTGCTTTATACTCCTCCAATAACTCACAAACTAGCTCCCAAATTTTTTCTAACTCTTCCTCCCGCTTCTTCTTAATCTCCACCTCTCCCTCTCTTCTCTCTCCTTCACCAATGCTAAGTTCTCTATTTTCCCCCTCACCTAAAACTTCCTCTTGGCATGCTGGCGTATCTGTTTCAAACACAGGAAGAGCATCAGTAGCAAAAACCGAATTGACAATAGTACCTTCATTGTTAGGAGCCAAATGAAACTCTTTCAGGGGATCAGAACCAGCATCGGGATGCAAGTCTAAATCTGTCTCCTGAGGTCTGATCTGCTTAAAAGAATTATCATAGGATATCAACAACTTGTCAACTTCCGCATCTGAGTTAGTCTTCCACTGCTGTCTGGCTATAGGCGATAATTCACAGAGCAGTCCGGTAGAGTCTTTCCCTTCCAAACCCATAACCTATTCTTCCTGCACTACTGAGTTGATCTCCCTTGCCATTGTAGACAGAATTTGGGTCCCAACCGTAGCTATCTTCTGTCGTTCAATCGAAAACTCCAAACCTCCCTACTCTGATAATCACCTCCCTCCTCCTCCAGGAACAATACTTCCGTTCCAAGGCTCTCTTCTTCAGAAATGTCCTTTGATGTGCTAAGATCGATGCTGCCCAGACTTTCAGAATCATCCGAATTAGTACCGCTGAAATCTTCAAACTGAGAGAGCTCCCTCTTTCTTTCCTCTAACTCTCATCGTTTAAGGCACCTTGGATTTCGTTTTTCAGGCGACGACTGCTCTAATCTTGCTGCCAGAACCCACTGTCTTGAACCTCCATCGCGCGCCGAGTTCAGGCTCCTTGTTGCGTGACTCGTTGCACTCGAAGAGGAAGAAGATAGATGGTAATTACCATCTATCGAAGGCACATGGTTGGTCACATGCCGTTTTAAGTTAAAAACTTTTGGGTTGGGCCCCTGGACTAGGCTACCTGTCTTACCCGCCTTAGATGGGCTTGATTTTTGCGGCCCAGGTACAGCCTCCGCCCCTTAGATCTTAGGGCCTTCTTTAAAGCGCCCAAAGCCCACTGAGCCTTTACTAACACTCGACCCTTGTTTATAAGGTTGTGGCTTCACGTGACTTTTAAAAAAGTCACGCACATTCAGCCCAAGGCCGTTTTGCTAGGCCTGGGTTCGTTTCCTCCCTGAACCAACCCCTTCTCCTTGTTTAAAAAAAGCATATCGTGTCTGTTACCACTTGTGCAAAGGACCTGTCACCCCCCAGATTGTTTACTGCTTCTACACGCATAAGACCCTTCTCCTAAAAACTACCTTTTTGTTTCTCCAGCACTTGTTTATCCATTTCAGTGAAAGAGCTATTCTTGTTTGAACCACCCAATCCTTTATTGCCACACAATTCTTCTTCTTCAACCTTCTCATCTCCTTCCCTATGAGCCTCTTTCCAAAGCACAGATTCAATGGAAGAAGCCAGCCATACTGAATAAAATTTTCCTTCAACTCGCACCTCTATCTCCCGAGGAATCTCCTCAGGTTTTACTCCATTCAATAGAATGAGAACTGAAAAGAGGTCTCCCCAAAAAACACCTCTTACTGATCCTCCACACATCAAAGCAATGGCTTCAACAATTTATCAAAAAAAAAAGACAATTTCTTGCTTCCACAAGTGAAAGGGAAGGCCTAAAAGAGGCACCAGCACTCCATTTTCAACAAAGAGATCCTTGGAGTTTGACCCCAGACACCATCTTGATAATGTGAGGTTCCCAAGTTCAGCTTGCATATTGAGAGCCTCAACTTCTACTCCATTCTCAAGCAAATCCAGCAAAGCCTTTTCTTTCTCAAATGGTGTTAAAATAAATGTATTTTTCAATTTCAAGCATGCTGTTAACACTTCTGCAACTTTCCTCCAATCTAAAATGTGACCTGAAGCTTTAACTATCAGTTTACTTTCCCAATCTCCTCTCTGTATGTTTACTCCCATTCTGTGTTTACCTGCCCCAGCTGTCACTATGAGAGTCTCTTGCTTATTATTGCTCTCCAGGCTAGTAGAACTGTTTTTCTTCCTTCTTTCTTTTACTTCTCTTTTAGCACCCAACCGTTGCAGCAGTTCACATAATACTCCATTAACTGCCATCCAGCCCTGACTTTTCCTTCCCTCTGAGAAGCAGACCATCTGCTTCCTACCCTTGCCAAAAAATTCTGTCAAAGAAATGAAGAAGCCTTTGGTGTTTCTCTTACTCTTACACTCTACTACAAACCTTCCAGTTTCTGAGAGAAACTCTTTCAAGCTATTTTGTTTGCCTTCATTACTTGCATCTTTCACAAACTCCTTAAACCCTTCAATCACCCTCAAATTTTGTCACCTTTGGGTTGTGATTCTAGGTTTTTTTTGGGGGAAAGATCTCTGGTTGGGTGATACTCCTTTCTACTCCTTTACCCTAAATTTTATTCAGTTTCTAGTTATAAGCTACCACCTATATCAAATTTTTTCACCTTAAATCATTCTAGTTTGAGTTGGGACTTGGGTTTCAAGAGAGGATTGAGGGATAATGAGTGTGAGAGCCTAATCCGGTTGTTAGACAAACTCAAATCTGCTTTCCTGGTTCATTCTATGGAGGACACTAGAGTTTGGTCTACCTCTTCTGATGGCATCTTTTCCTGTTCATCTTTCTTTCACACCCTTGTGCAAACCCCTGTGAGGGGAGTGGATTTCCAGGTGAAAGAGATTTGGAGAAAGCCCATCCCACCCAAAATTCAAGCTCTATGTTGCAGTGATTCAAAAGACATGTGGCACATTTTAGGGTATGCACCTCACCTAGGTCCTAGATGCATGCCTGGTGTGCCTAGGTGTGCACCTCAGCCCAGGCGTGCACCTTTTCACTAGAGTTCCGAGAACCCCCTATTTTCTAATGTTCTTCATTCATTCATTCTAATAGAATATCTTCTTAAAAGGCAATTAAAGTTATATAATCATTATTTTTTATGTGAGAATTAAGAATTTAAGCCGCTAACATGAACTTGTTTGGGCTTGCCTTGAGGTGTGTGGTACAATGGCGATTCGTAGAATCACATTAGCTACTTGATGTAATGCAATTGAGGAAAAGAAGAGATTATGGCTTTTACATGCTTGAAAATGCTTTATATGTTTTATTTTATTTTTGAATTTTCATTTGAATACGCTTTACATGTTATGTTTATGTATTTAAATTTAGATAATAGGTTTTTTAAAACATTTATTTTAAAATTTAAGTTTATATTTTTATTAATATTATGCTTAATATTTTTTTGCATTTTTTTTAATTTTCTGACATTTTTTATTTTGTTAGCATTTTTTGTATTTTTGTGCCTTGCTTCAAAAAGGTGTGTGCCTCGCCTTGCGCCTCAGGCGCAAATTGACCCTTGCGATTTTTAAAACACTACTATGTTGGGAGGTTTTCCTTGAAAAGGTAAACACCTGCGATATGCTTCAAAAGAGAAGGCCAAATAAGTGCTTCTCCCTTCATATGTGCCATCTTTGTTATACAAATGGTGAATTCCTACCCCACTTATTGATCCATTGCCCTGTTGTGCTCTTTGTTTGAGAATCTTTTCGCTCTCTCTTTGGTTGCAGGTGGAACACTCCTCATGATGTGGTGAGCCTCTTCAACTCAAACTTTCTAAGACAGCCAACAAAAAGGGGAAGAACAATGTCAAAATCAGTTAGGGCAGCTGTGGTGTGGACTATATGGGAGGAGAGGAATGCAAGAATCTTCAATGAAAAGTGCAGAACCATGGAAGAACTGGTGAAATCTATAAAGATGAGAGTAGCATATTAAGTAAAAACACTTGAGCTGTTCCAAAGTTTCTCGGTAGTTGATATATTGCGGGCTTGAAGGAAGTGGCGTATTCCTCTAACAAGAAAGAAGAGATAGGGAAGGAATGGAAGCCCCAGGCTCCTAACAAATTAAAGCTGAATTTTGATGGGAGCTCTATAGGAAGCCAATAGCTCTATAGGAAACCTGGGATTGGCAAGCATTGGTGGTGTGTTTAGAGTCTCAACAAGTAAAATGGTAGATTGTATTCAGGACCTATAGGGGTAGGCAACTCAATAAAGGCTGAGCTACTAGCACTTCCACAGGGACTAAAACTTGCCAAACAAACAGCTTTTAACATTTTGCAGATTGAAGGGGACTCAAAACTGGTGATCTCTTGGTCTAACAATAGGGGTAATGCTCCTTAGATATATAGACACTCCTTGAGAGATTGAAAACCTAGCAAGGGAACCCAATGCTTCTTTCACATGGATCAGAAGGTCTGCAAATGGGATGACTGACTCTTTAGCAAAACAGGGGGTTTACAGGCTGCAACTTTTCTGGGCCTTGTTATAACACCTAGTGCCTAGTGAAGGAAAACCTATGCTTTCTGCTTTTTGTAATGCTGTATATGTTTTCCTCTCAATTATTAATAAAATTAATCTTTCAAAAAAATTAGCAACACCAAGTAATTACGAAGATTGAACAATGCTCCATTCAATGATATCCCACAGCCTATCCCCAAAATCAAATCTGTTTTCTTCAGAAAAATCAGGTAAAACAAGCACTCAGTCAACGATCAAATTGCAATGAGGAAAAGGTATCTTGGAGCTCAGTATATATTAGTTTCTTCTAAAGGGATGATCGATGCTCACACATAAGTTTTCACATTTGGTTGCAAACGTTTATGATCTTCAACCATCATGCCAAGTAACTCAGCCACATCTTGGACCCTGCACATCATAGCCAAACCCTAACAAAAAGGTAAATAGTCTGCAATGTAAAAGAACCATAGAATTCACACAGATTTTTCTTGTAATTAATTGAACTAGTAATTGAAAAGATAAATAGTTTGCAGTGTAAAATAACTGTAGAATTCAGACAGATTTTTTCTTGTAATTAATTGAACTAGTAATTGAAAAGATTGTAAATAAGATTCTTAATGCTAAATGACCACATCCATGCAATTTTGCAAAGAAAACTCAGGAAATCTACAACTACAATATATAGAAGATACCAATTAGGGAGTGGACCCACCATGTGTGACATTTATTAAATATAAAAAGTTAGAGTTTTATTTTAGTTAAGAGTTTATACTTTTAAAATCATTTTGAATTAGTTGATCTTCAAAAAAAGAAACCACATTAAAATACATCTTGATTAGAAACTAATTGACTTCAACGGCTGCTGTTTGGAGAAACGATATAGATCTGGTATTACAGGAGCTTTTAGGAACTGGGAGGGTTAAGTCCAATTTGTTTACTCAAGACCAAATAGGTGATGGGAATTCCACAAGAGTCATGCTTTTATCTCTTACAAGACTTGAGGTTGAGTTAGGCTATTATGGGCTACAACAACATTGCAGTGGAAAAACAATCCCAAATTGTAACAGCTTGGATGAAAAATGAGAAAGTATGTCAATGGTTTCATTGGCATATCATCAGGGAGGTTAGATATTTGTCCTCAGGGTTTTAATACACAAACATGGATACTGACATAGAACCAAATAGGGGAAACATGATACAAGATACAACACTGCAGGTAACATTATCCATCAAAAAAACATTGCAGGTATCACATTCATCCAAGCCCTAAGAAGGCAAATTACCGCTTGCACTTGGAAAGTGTAACTATGAAAGCTAGGGGTGAGCATTCGGTTTTTTCGGTTTAAAACCGAACCAAAAAACCAAAATTTTAAAAACCAATTTAACTATATGAAAGACCGAACCGAAACCGAAATACGTGAAAACCGAATAAACCGACCGAATTTTTTTTTCGGTTATTTCGGTTAAAACTGAAATTATTTAATCTGAAAATGCAACACAACGCAGGAAGATGCAGGTGGCCAACGGCACTCGGCAACGATTCAACGCCATTCGTGTTTGGAGCCTAGAGCGCAGGAAGAAGAAGAAGATGACCAGAGCATGGAGGAGCTGAACTGAGGAAGATGCAGCAGCAGCGGCAGTCGGCAGCCGCGGCACTCGGCAACGAGTCAACGGCGTTCATGACTTCGTGTTCGGTGTTACTGCTGGTGCTAGGTGAGCCGGTGACGTCCGGCAACCGCGACAGTCGAAGAGACGAACTGAACTGACATCCGGCAGCCGCGGCAATCAAAGAGACGAACTGAGGAAGATGCAGCCCAGCAGCGGCAATCGGAAGCCAGGGCACTTGGCAACGAGTCAACGCCGTTCGTACTTCATGTTCGGTGTTTCCTGTTGGTGTTGGGTTAATCGGTGACATCCGGCAGCTGCAGTAGTCGAAGAGACGGGATTCTCGACTCTGGTCTGGAAAACTGGAACGGGAAGAGTGGAAGAGGAAGACGAGAGTCCCGAGACAGCAAGACACTTTAGACTCTTTAGTCTCTGACTCTCTAAGTCTCTCTCTAACTCTTATACGCCCGCACGTCAATTTTTCACTTTTTTTCACTTTCTTGTATACACGTTTTGCAGCTTAACTTTGTCATGATTCTTAATTTATTAAATATCAATATAAAATTAAATTATAAATTATAATATTAAATCGGTTTTTTCGGTTAACAGATTTATGAAGTTTGATAACCAAAACCGAAAACCAAAAAAAAATAAACCGAACCCGACCGAAAAACCGATTAAGCCGAACCATTTAAACCGAAACCGAAATTTCGGTTTTAACCGAATTATGCTCACCCCTAATGAAAGCCCTACTATTCTTTGTCTTTAATGGATCTTCATTCATCTAAAAAGACTCATTTCAGTCATCAGAGTTGATTTTTGAAAGAATGCAATTCCAATTTTTGGATAGTTTTAGCCAATGGATATGGTTTTCTTTTTTTTATCTTCTCTTTTTTTGGTAGATGTTGAAATAGACTATGTTGGAGTGTTAAAACTATATTATGTATGAAGAAATGGATAATTTGGGAAGAAAAATTATAATCAGGGATTTTAATGTAATATCAACCTCATTAGGACTGCTTTATAATTTGGATATTTCTATTGTTAATATACAGCATCTCTCTCATTTCAGAGAAATAGATTTGGTTTGGTTCGCTGCCCTGTCTTCTCTTCTCACACCTGTCTTTCTTTTTGTTTCAGTCTCTTCTCTCATATCACACATGACAATATGGGTATCAGAGCAGATAGCCTGATGAGGTGATGAAGATGGCAATGATGATGACTACAGATCTATTTGTTAAGTCCTTTTATGTGTTTTGATCATCTATATTTTCCTTTTCAGTTATAGTTCTGTTTTGTTCTTGTTACCCTTCTGTCTCATTTGGTATCTACCTGTTTTCTAGTCTTCTCTTCTATAGTTTAGATCTGTTTGTTCTCATCATCATGGTTCCTTCTTTTTCTGTCATTGGTTTGTGTTGGTAAAAATGAAAAAACAATAATCTGATTCGATAGCAGTGAGAAAGAGAGATCTTAGTGAGAAGAGAAGAGGAAGAGAAGAAGAGATGGCGAGAAGCCAATAATGATCTGGCCACCCCACTCATTATCTTATATACTCATAAAAGAGACTGAGTACAAAGACTAAAATGCCCTTAATGGGGCGGCTACTGTTCATAACATAGAAACAGCTTCAAAAAAACAACATAAACTAATAGGCATTGGGCCCAATAACACTAACTAATGATTATAAACAAGAAAATCATAAAAAACTGCTGAATCATTAGTTAGTGTTATTGGGCCCAAGGCCCATTAGTTTATGCTTGTGACCGGACCCCAGCCTAAGAGACAAGCCTTTGTTGAAAAGTAGGGCAACCTCCATGATTTTCTTCCAAAGGGAACACCCCGAAGTGGGGAGATTTGAAGCAGTTGTCCAATCACCTCTATCAGTACCATATTTTGCTGCTATTAAACTCCTCTACCAAGGCACCAACTTTCCATTTCTTTCTCAAATCTCCAAACCCATTTCCCCGAAAGGGCCTTGTTGAAGATTTTCAACTTTCTAATCCCCAGCCCTCCTTTTTCTTTTGGCACACACACCTGGTCCAATTGACTAAATGTATTTTCTTCTCCTCCCAACCTCTCCATAAGAAGTCTCTCTGTAACATCTCAATTCTTTGCACCACTTTGGATGGGATTGGGGAAAGGGAGAGAAAATAAGAAGGTAAGTTTGGAAGGGAACTCTTGATGAGAGTGATTCAACCTCCCAAGGAAAGGTATTTAGATTTCCAGGAGGGCAGTTTCCTTTCTAGCCAATCCACCACAGGGTCCCACACTAGAGAGGAGGTGCACTTGGCTCCCAATGGAAGTCCAAGATACTTAACAGGCAAAGAGCCAACCTGGCAAGCCAGCACATCAACAAGAGCTTCTAAATTTTCTACCCTTCCAACTGGTATTAAGCTGCTTTTTGACCAATTAACTTTCAGCCCCAACACCACTTCCAACCAAATCAGCACCCCTAGAAGGACTTCCAATTGCTCCATTTCAGCATCAATGAAGTAGAGGGTGTCATCAGCAAACTGCAGCAAGTGAACCGGCTCCCCCCCCCCTGGCTTGATTCAAAACCTTTCCAGAGCCCTTCTTCCCCTAAAATTTCCATCATACAAATGAAGAGGAGAGGGGGACAAAGGACCCCCTTGCCAATAAGCCCCTTGAACTCTTGAAGAAGCCAGCTGATTGGTCGTTCAGTAGAACTGAAAATTTTGGAGAGGTAACACAAACCTTGATCCAACTTCTCCATTTCTGACCAAAATTCATCCTTTCCAAGACGAAATCCAAGCATTTCCAGTTAACATGATCATAAGCCTTTTCCAAATCCAGCTGAAAAATAATTTATGACAATGTTTTTCATTTCTGTCCAGCTCTCTCCTATCTGACCTCCTTGCTCTAACCTCTCAAAATGGTTCAACCTTTTCCTCTCATTGGCCATTTTGCGGAAAAAAACTAGAATTTCTGTCTCCCACTTTCATCCACTTAACTTTGGATCTTTGCCTCCACTTCACTTCATCCTTATAGGCTAATTTATCTAGGGACAAATTTGCTAAGAGTCTTCTTCTCTCCTCTTCAGATAAAGGACCATTTTCTTCAGCTGTATCCAATTTTTAATTACCTCTAAGCAACTCTTTTTCTGACTCTGACTTCCCTTGATACTCGAACCTCCAAGTTTTCAAAAAGTCCTTCATTTGAATAATCTTTTTTGCCAGGATAAAAGAACTTGAACCCTCAAATTGTGATTCTGACAGTAGGGGGACCAGCCCTTCTCCAAACCAGGCAATTTCCATCTTAAAAGGGCATTTTCTAGTCCCTTGTGAACCACACACCAGCTGGATGGGGGAGTGGTCTGAGACTGGGCGTGGGAGAGCTGCCTGTTTTATATGTTGAAAGTTGTCTTCCAAACCTAGAGAAATCAGAAACCTGTCTAACTTAACTAAGACTGGGGATTCTTCGTTATTTGTCCAAGTGAATTGAGCCCCGAGAAGAGGTAGGTCATCAACTCAAACTGATTCGAAAACTCTGTAAATATTCTCATTAAATTGGTTCTCCTAGTTCCCCCATTTCTTTCTTCCAAAAATCTCACCACATTGAAATCCCCACCTATCACCCAAGGAATGGAGTTCATACCTCTAGCATCTGAGTAATCAGTAATGCCATATACATTAGTAAATTGGCCTTGAAAACCCCCTTCCAACTCCAGAATAACTGACACTGAAAAATTCCCTTCATAGGAAGAAATCAGTTACACTTTGATCTGTCCCGCATGATTAACAGACCCCCTGCACTACCCCTTGCTGCCTTACTCACCCACCTTA